ACAGCGAGGATCGTCTCAAACTTCAAATGAACGAGAGGTCCATTTTCAAATCGAGCGATCAAACCTTCCTACAGCGAGGATCGTCTCAAACCTCCCATTCGATCAAACCCTCCTATGGATAGGGCCAAAACCAAAATCCCCTTTCGATTCCTCCAATGAATGAGAGGTCCACTTTCAAACCGGATGATCAAACCTTCCTACAGTTAGGGTCACCTCAAACTCCCGCTTGGTCAAACCTTCCTACATTAATGATCAAAACCACAATTCACTCTCGATAAATGAGAAACCCATCTTTAGTTCGGTAATCAAACCTTCTGACAATTAGGATTATCCGAATTTTTCGATTCTCGGAGTGGAGAACCCATTCCTACTTTCACCTTTTCGGATTCTAGGGGTGGAGTTCCCATCTCAAGTCTCCTTTCCAACTGGAGATAGAATATAAAATTCTTCCTCTTCAACTTTGGGAGATAGAATATAAAATTCTTCCTCTTCAACTTTGGGAGATAGAATATAAAATTCTTCCTCTCCTGCATCAGGTTCGTCTTTGCCCCAAGAGAAGACACCACTTTTTTTAACTACCAAAATCCGTGCCTCACACGCACGGGGAATTTTATCCTGAATCCTAAGTAGGCATAAGTCAACGCCTAACACGCGTTGTCGGTTTAGTCTTTCACCGATTGAAAAAGACACCATAATACCAGCCTGGGGAATTTTATCCCGGAGCCTAAGTAGGGATAAGTCAGCGCTTAACCCGTGCTGCTGGGTGGTTCGTTCCCGTAAAAACGACCGAGTCTACGTATTCAACATCGTAGCAACAAAAATCCATGCCTTTTATGCATGGGGAATTTTATCCCGAATCCTGAGTAGGGATAAGTCAACGCCTAACACGCGTTGCCGGTTTAGTCTTTTACTGTTTGAAGAAGACGCCGGAATCCGAATCTGGGGACTTTTATTCCGAAGCCTAAGTAGAGATAAGTCAGCGCTAACACGCGTTGCCGGGTAGTCTATTCTCGTAAGAAAGACGAAGTCTACGTATTCAATATCGTAGCACTAAAAGAGTTAACTCTTTTAGAATAACGTTACATGCGGAACGGACTTAAACAATCCACATGCAAGCCCGATTCAAACGGTAATCGGTAAAGATACCTCAAATCCGTTGAAGGCTGAGGATTTGCCAAAAATCCTAAGTCAGCGTCTAACACGCGTTGCCGAGTAGTCTATTCCCGTGAGAAAGACGAAGTCTATGTATTAATATCGTAACACTAAAATAGTTAACTCTTTTAGCACAACGTTATGTGCAGAACGGGTCTAAACAATTTGCATGCTAGCCCGACTCAAACGGTAGTCGGTAAAGGCTAATCAAACCCGTTGATGGCTGAGAATTTGCCAAAAATTCTATAAATGTGAGTCATTGACGTATCATCTTCATTAGTTGGTCTCGTGATTTGAGTATACAACGACGTCGAGATAAGATCCATATCTGCAGATGAAACAACTTTAATAGTTGGTCCTGTAGCCTAAAATTTAGGATTGTTATGCTCCAATGCCTTAAGAGCTTAAACTGTGTATACTCCAGCAAACATACGAGTATAAACTATGTTAACGCCAGTCAACGCGTTGCGATGAAAGTCAACGCCAATCAATACAAAACCCTAAGGCCAACGCCGAGCAACGCGTAGCCCTAGGTCAACGCTGGTCAACGCGTTGCGACAAAGATAATCAGTTCAAAGTCAACTCAATGACACGAGCCAAAACTTACTCACCAACTTTGATTCAAGACTTCGACAACGGTCAGACGATAAACGCAGCGTCGGAAAAACTTTATCTATTCAACAAAGCACTGGATAGACTGAAGGCTGAGGAAGTCAGGAATTGAAACGGTTCACAGGTCCTTTGACACCGACTTAAGGCGGGGGGACTATCATATCCAAAGCATTCCAGACTCCTGCATAAAAGAATGAGTCTGAAATACTTTGGAGGGGGTATCTGTAGGCGTCTAAAAATGCCTATAGGTATCCATTTACAGCTCGAGACAAAGAGAAGGTGATGAACACCGCTATCTAAGTCTAAGAGGATTATCCGACGCCAATGAACACATAAAGCAAATCGGCGAACCAAGTGGCATGTGTGCTAACCGGCCACCTCCAAGTGGCCCGTGTACTCACCAGCCACCAAATCGGCGAACCAAGTGGCCCGCACGCTCATCGGCCATCAACAAACTATCCATGTGTTCGCGAAACGAATCGGGAAAGCGTACAAGTCAACGAAACGACGAAATACGCGTAACGACAGGACAAGTCAGAACCCGGAAAACAGATAAAGCCCCTGGCGACCGAATCGCGCCAAAGCGACTCGGTCAGACCAGTGGCTCGGCCACGGGCCGAGCTACCGACCAAGGCCGAGCCACCATTTGGTGGCCCGGCCAGGCCGAGCCACTAGGTGACTGTTCGGCCAAAAGTTAGTTTTTTCGATTCTTTTATGGATTCTTTCAGGATTTAGGGTTCCGATTGCTCTGATATTATTGTTAGATAGTTGTTAACTGAAGATAGAGAGAATCCCTCATTTTGAGCTGAAGAAACCATCAATCAAGCCTATAAATAGGAGCTCTAGTGCTCATTTCTAAGGGGGATCAAGAGGGCGAGGTGCTGCCGGTTTCTCAAGTGCATAGCCATGAATTTCAGAGAGGGTTAGCAGATATTGGCATTCTCCTGTGCATAAAGAGTGGAGTTCGAGAGATCTGAGCCCGTCCCCTATTCCTCCGGATTTAAGCTTGGTTTTAAATCCCGAGAAGAGCCGTGATTTTGCTTAGTCAAAATCGCCGCTACTGCAATTACTTCCTTCGTGGAGTGAGAGCATTGATTATCCAACTTCTGCTAACCGGATCTGATCCGTAGAGGTCCACGGATATTAACGTCCCCGGCACAGGCAAAGATCCCACACAAGCAGCGGGTGATAAACGTCCGTTGCGCTATTTGAAAGAGTTGTAATCTTTATTTTCATTGTATAAAGGAGATCTCTTAAAAAGATCAATTTTTTTATTTGAGTTTATTATAATGACCAAAGTTGTAATAGATTCGATGACAATGAAACATCAACTTTTGACCCAAATAGTTTCCTCTTGAGATTTGCCGCTTTCCTCCCTTCAGGCCTTACTAACACATCATGCGAGTCAGTGTTCAACTCAATGGGGGTCGCTGGCATGGAATTGTTTGTTGAGGAATCAGAGTTTGTGGTTCTTCTCGGCTGTGATCGAATCTTATTGTAAGTTTCCAATTTTGTTGGATCCACTTTTGATGATGACGCAACTCAACCCAGCAATGGTCAAACACGAATGGTTTACCATAAAGAGATTGGTATAATTCTTTTACTTCTGTAGTCTACACAAGAGTTAAATTTAGAATAATCAAACATAATTAAACATATATATTCCTCTCTTCAATGCTATGTTGTTTACATAAAAACATATAAGTTAAATATTTACCTGGTCAATAATTCCCGTACCAGATCTTTGTCGTCCTTCAATCTGAGCAACACACTCGCAGAACTTGTTGACGGACAGTTGAATAGTTGATCAACGATGCATCATTTGGTTTGGTGTGCGGCTCAATGGATCAGTGGAGTATTGGATAAAGTAATCGTTAGCTCTGTGCCAAAACTTATCTTTGTGTTGCCTAGTACCTTGGATGACGTCTTGGCTTGTGTTCAGCCAAGCAGACACAAGAAGCTTATCCTCGTTGATAGTCCAAATTTCGGACCGCGTGTAAGCCTTCTTCTTCTTTGTGGTCGGTGTTTCTTGGGATGACACTTGTTATGTTGCCGATTGCGAGAACTCGATGGGGTTACCTTCTTCTACGACTTCTGTATAGAACGGTGGGTACAAGGTCGATCCTTCACCGGTAAGGAGTTACGAATAATAGTTTTGTGAGGGATCCATGAGATTTGTAATTTGATAGGAAAATATATAGTTTTTTTTATGAGAGAGTTGTATGGAATGATTTGTGTATTGAAGTGAAACGAATTTATAAATGATTTTTTACTATTCATGTTAGTTTTTTAATCCCAACAGCTAAATTTTTCAATGGCTAAATTTTTCACCTCAACAATACATTTTCAACTAAATTTTTCTCTTCAACGGTACATTTTCAACCCAACGGGCATTATTTTCACCTCAAACAACGCACCCAATTAAAAAAAATCAAAAGAGAGATTTTCATCCTCTCCCTTCGACAGACCCAACCCCACCCCTTCGACAGACCTAACCCCAACCCCAAATCCTCTCCCTTCGAAAGACCCAACCCCACCCCTTCGACAGACCCAACCCCAACCCCAAATCCTCTCCATCGACGGCGTCGGCATGCCGGAGGCCAGTCGGAGGCCTCTTCGCACCATCATCTTCGACCCGACCGAAACGCCGCCATCATCTCTGGCGTCGGCATGCGAAGCCAGTCGGAGGCACCCCAGTCATCCATCATCTCCGAACCGAACACCACCCATAAGTCTTCGACCCTACCCGAACGCCACCCATCATCTCCGCGAACGCCAGCATCTCCGCAAACGCCAGCATCTCCACGAACGTCATCATCTCCGAACCTGATTTTTGAGGGGGGGGGGGGGGTTGTTAAATGTTTCCCAGTTAGGAGCTCCCAAGCGCTCCACAAATTTGTGGAGTGCTTGGGAGCTCTGAAGCTCTCCACCGCCACGTCAGCCTAAGGAGAGGGGCTTGGGACCGGTTAGGAGGCTTCTGCTGAGGGCGGGCTGAAGCAGGAGACCACCGCCACGTAGGCACTGAGAGCAGACTTGGGAGCTTGCTGCCCTTGCTCTAAGCTCTGGCCCTAGTTTGGCCAAAAACTAGACAACTTAAGCTTTCGAAGGATGATTTTTGGCCTTACACTTGTTTTGTTTTACTTCTAGAAGTGAATTAATCAATGGATGGATGTTACAATATAGAGTTATCAATTGTATATTTTTTTCCCCTATAAAGTAACACAACTTCATTTTTTATGAAAAATGAACATATCCTCTTGGTAACCTCAATGAAAACTTCTACATTCACAATTTAAAAAAAAATTAAATAAATCAAACAAACTCACACCATAAAGTCCCCTCTCACAACTTCTGTTGATAAGGATCAATCTTCCAGAGCCCGCATGAATACGCAAAGCAAGATTTTGAATAACCTTTTTAGCGCCCTTATTCCCAGATAGGAACTGCGATTAAGCAGAGACTAAAAGCAAATGGCTATACAATAATACCTTGACCAGTGTGTTCGTTATAGAAGGGCTAATCGATCTCCTTGTTGAGAGAAGATGGGTCATTCCTGCCTCCTGCAAAACAATTTATTTTATCGATACAAAACAATTACGACATTAATAAAGAACAAGTAGAAGTTCAGAACTACTAATATAACACCAAAAATGTAGGTCTACACGATACCTTTCAGTTTCAGGACTCAGTTGGCCGTGTATACTTGAACATAGTAGGTTAGGCGTACAAGCTCCAGATAATCCTGGCCTCACCACTCCGCTCTCTTCTTTCTTTACCTCTTCTTCCTACTAGGATTTAATAGATTTACAATGAGGACATCGAAGAGAATTATGCTATTTAGTTTTAGTATATAGTCTTTCAAGTAGAAGATTTTACCTTGGGGTTTTCCCTCATAAACCCAGGAATTTTCTCACAAAGAAGACTCATGTACCGTTCCATAGCTGCATCAGGATTCATGTTTCCCAGTCTTTGCCAAGCATGCCTTAAACAACACAGCCATTATCTTTGACGTTCAAAAAATTTCTCTCTCTTGCCTACTACAGTGATTAGCAATCAAACTACAACCAAAATCAAATTACGGATAAAACCACTTCATTAGGACAAAACCACTTCGTTGACAATGAGACCACAGGTTAGACCATTACGCAAGTATGGGGTTCAGATTCTTCAGAAATGAACATAATAATGATCATTTTCAATGCTCATATCTTTTCATAACTCAAAAAAGTAGTACTTGCTCAAACGGGTAACTTCTATTTTTCCTGCCCTCTATCCTTCTATTTTACATTTCCTGTTCCCATTTATGTGCCTCAGTTACACGTTTTACGATCCTCTTATTAGTATAAACAATTGGAGATAACTGTCAACAAAATTGACAAGAATAAAATGGCTAAAAGATCAACTTGGTCTCTATACTCGGCTTTCAAACTCAAATCGGTCCTCGTACCTTATTTTTTCTCAACTTAGTCCTTGTACCAAACATCAGATGTAAACTAAGTCCTTTTTGACATTCATTAATTTTTAGGTGTTAACTTTTCGTTTGTGACCAGAATACACTCAATCCTTGTACTTTTGAGTTCTATAAACTTTTATTCATCTTACTTAAAAAGTTTGAATAAAAAGAAGGCCCACAATAGAATTCTTCACACACACACACACACTTATGCCTATAGGTACGACCAAAGTTACCTAATAAATATAAGGAAATTTTGGGAAGACCTGGATAGTAATTGACAACCTTGGTGTGAACTAGAACATTCAGGCTTTGGAGAACCTTTGTATCTTATGTTAGTAAAACAATTAAGGAGACAGAAATTCTGAGGTGTGAAACACTTTCCTTAAAGAAATATTTGCCCCCACTTAATATTCAAAGTTGCTTCGGGTTAATGCAAATTTTCTTCCCAGGATACAACAGAAAATAAAAATTCCAGTAAGCAAATCTGGAATTTTTCTTAATTCGTTGTGAAACAAGTTTGTAATATTGCAGATGTTTTTGCTAGAAAAGATTCAGAAAAAGGAATTCGTTGTGAAACAAGTTTGTAATATTGCAGATGTTTTTGCTAGAAAAGATTCAGAAAAAGAATTGTAAAAAAATATCTGAAAAACATAAACTATTTATAGTTTTGAAAATGTGCTTCCAACAGTCACAACTTTTTAAAACACCCATTGGAACAAACAGCCACTTTTCAATAGTCACTTGTCTTTTCATAATTTTTAAAATTCGAAATAACATTAAAAATAAAATATATTCAATATATAATTATATATATAAAAAATAGAACATTTAAGCCTACACTTTGATCCATTATTCTCGTCAAAATCGCGCATTATTCGCGCTACCCGCACGCGGGTTTAGAAGCCTACACTTTGATCCATTATTCAAAGCCAAATAAGCATTCAATGCTTTTAAACCTCTAAAAGAATGTTCAAAATTCTAATGTGGGACTATCTTGTTTTTTACAAACAAATACTAACATCTTAGCAGTTAGCAATACCCTGTTTCTATCTAAGATGCTCAGATAAACAGTGCAAACAACAATTAATTATCTGGATAAACTAAATATTCATCGGAAAGAATTATTGAATTAAATAATCGCTTACATATTAGGAAGAGATGAGCATACCACTTGGCCCTCGCAGAAACTTTCAAAGCCATTGGCCGCGGGTCATAGCAAGGCCCCTCTGTAGCAACCTTGTGAAGCCCATACAGTTGCATTTGCTCATCACCGCTCAGGTTCGGCAATGCAAGCTCACCGCCCTCGCTACCAACATAAGCCGCCGCCTCGCGAAAATCCCTCTGCAGCTCAGTCGGGTCGATCCCCTCCCAATCATCTTCCTCGTCAGGCAGTGATCGCTCCTTCACGTCACCCGCACTTTCATGCCTCCTTTCGGTGTTACGATCTTCGGGTTCGTTCTCCCTAACCGGAATTGCATCAGATCTTTCGACTTTTATACCTTCTTTCTCTAAATCGAGCTGCAGCTCTTTTGCTCCCCCGACAAATTGGCGTTCTTCAACCCCGCGCGCTTCTCTCGCGGGATTTTCAAGTGCTTCTCCTTTGGTTCGGAGCAAATCATCCAACCTCCGCTCAACCAAACCATCTCCTTCTTCTATCAGAAAACGACTAGCCTCTTCTGGAACGCTAACTTCGCTTACTTCATCCACATCGTCTCCTTTACTAAGACCACCATCAAGTCTTTCGATCCCGACCTCATCATGACTCCCTTCATCAGCTGATGTTTCGGCTGAATTGACCTCAACGACTCCAGCTTCCCCCTCTTCTTCGCATTTCATCTCATGATCGGACCTGCTACTTTCCGATGGAATCTCGTGAGAGCGGATAGGAGCGTCACCTCCTCTTTCGGCGGCGTGCTCGATCGCTCGACGTTCGCGGGCCGGCCTCGTCGTCCGCGGCCGACGGCGAGAGCTTTGCCGAGGAGAGAGCGAGGAGAACGGAGAGGGTCGCGGTGAAGAGGAACTCTGGTAGAACTCCATGGCGATGAGAGAGAGAGAGGGGAGGACTGAGAGGTTGAGGGTTTAATGATGGCGGTGGGATTTTGGAAGCGGCAAAAAAAGCATAGTCACCGGTATTGAATGACGGGTGGTTGTCTTGGTGGGTCGGGTCGGGTCCCACGTTGAATCCGACCCATGACCTATCTGGTGGCTTCGCACCGGTGGCTTTGACAACCTGAGTTGGAACTGGATAGGCGTGCAGACGCGATGATACATAAGTCGGACGAGTTTAATTAGAGGCCAAATTTTCAAAACAGGCCATATTAGTAATTTATTTTTAGAAAATGACCCATTTGAGTTTTAATTGTCATTTTCGACCTAGTTTTAGCCACCTAGCTAAAACTTGGTTGAAAAGGGTAAATAAAGTTCAAAAACTTTACGGGATTTAAAATATCCTGTGAAGTCTGGTGTCTGATTAACCACGCAAATTAAGCTGCAGAAGTTCAAAAACTTTACGGGATTTAAAATCCTGTGAAGTTTATTGTCTGATTAACCACACTAAACTTCACGGATCGAGTTTTAAATCTCGTGAAGATTTCTAACTTTATTTACCATTTTCGACTTGGTTTTAGCCATGTGGCTGAGACCAGTCGAAAATGGTAATTAAATTTTAATTGGATCGATTTTTAAAAATAAATTTCTAATAGGGTATATTTTAAAAAATTGTCCTTAATTAGATTGAAAGGGATAATCTTTATAGGATGATGGCTAGAAGATTAATTATTAATTACATTTATATCCTTGGGGATAAATTATACTAAAAATCATGTTGTTTACCTAATATTGCAAGTAAATACACTTAGTTGTAAGTAGTTTCACTTAAACATCGTAAAGTTTCAGCTCTTATTTTTTGTTAAATCTATTCTCTATAAAAATTTTATTTTAAAGCTATCTTAATTCTATCTTAAAAGGACTTTGATATGTTTAACAATAAATTAAAAAAAAAGGGGTTGAAATGTTTCAAAAACAACATGTGAGTATTGCATAATAATTTTCTAGGAAAAAAAAAATCTCATATTTGCATACCTGAGGCTGAGGGTATTAAAATGCAACTTTTAGAAATTTTAAAGTGTTTAAATGCAACCATTCACAACCTAGTATTTAAATGTAATTTACCCTATATCTATTTCCTGGTTATTGACATCGATAGACATGTAATGGGGAGCATGAAAGTCTTGTTTCTTTTTTTTACTCACCAGCGTCCAAGTACATTCATGTCAGCATAAGCTTGACATACGGCCTTTGCTTATGAAAATAAATTTTT